ACAGTAAAGCCCCCTGAGGTAGTATAGTTACTACCTTCTGCAGGTGGACTATTATATATTTGACGATATATATCGTCACAAACAGAACTGCCCGGTAAACCGTAGGCAGAGAGAGAGAAGAGGACAACAAACGAGGGGCTGTGACAAACTGTTTCGTCGGAGTTTCACCGACTCATCAGGTGTATATATATCGTCACAGAACTATTGACTAAGCACGTGGAGCAAAAGGAGAAATAAGATGAGCGAAGAAAAAAAAAAATGAAAGGACAAACATGCAAAGAGACAGACAAACTAGAATGACACAAAACAATGTCTTATTATTCTTTGTTTCACTGTATTCTTATTTCTTTCAGTATTTTATAAAAAAGAATTTACAGTGACCAAAGGATAAAAATAAAAAACAAAGATACATTGAAATCATTCAGTTCCTCGGTCTTCTTAACGCCGCCTCCACTGTGCCTCTAACGTACAAGGCTCGCCACGTTGATGAAGTTGAGCGCGAGCTGCCATAACAACCCAGTTGCACGCTACGGAAAAGAGGCAGAGTGAAGGAAGAGGTGTTAAACAGACGGAAGAGAGTAGCAGAAAAGGAAAACCGATAGGCAGAGGGATAAAAAAAAAAACAAAGTGACATAAACATCTTTCTTTTACTGCATTTTTCTTTTTTTTCACAATTTTGCAATTTTTGTGAAGAGTCTACCACGTTCGCTTTTCAGCGTTGTCACAAAGTTGTCAGAGCGCAAATATATCGTCACAAATAGAACTGCCCGGTAAACCGTCGGCAGAGAGAGAGAAGAGGACAACAAACGAGGGGCATGTATATATATTGTCACAAAGTTGTCAGAGCACAAAAGCGAAAGGAAAACAAAAAGAAAAAAAAAAGAAATTCATTTTTTTTTTTACTTCTTTCTTACAACTCCCCCTGTTCAAAACCTCTTGCGGAAGGGGGGAGCGCCGATAGCGGGCGGGTAGCTTAGCGCTCCGTTACCGGCGCCACTTCGCGTTTTACGCAAGCGCTGTTCGCCCGCCAACCCCGCCGTCATGACGGGGTGTGGGAAAGGAGACTTGCGCGCTCCTCCTCGAGGGCGTGAGGTTTCGGCCTCCTCGCATTATCTCCTTGAACAGTCCTTCACCACGGTGGGGTAGGAATTGACTGTGTCACCATAGCCAGAGACAGATGCAAGGGAATGTAAGTCCAGATTTTGGCCAATTATCTCGGAAATCCAGATGTGCTGGCCACCGGCTTCCTCATTATCGGTAGTGAGGGAGGTTAAGTCCGAGTAAACATTCCCCATCTGGTCTGTGGTTAATCCAGCAACGGACATGGTTAATTACCACGGAATTTTAGCGATGGGAACCAAGCGCCATCTCTTGTGCGATAAGCAGGCCGGCCCTAGGCGGGAGTTCCTCCTCCTTCGGGAGGGGAAGCAATCATAAGATCAACGTGAGAATTTAGTTCATTCCAGAGGGCAGCGGGGGCATCGACCTCGCGAGGGTCCGGGATCAGTGGAAGGGGGTGGAGTAGTTGAGGGCAATTGGGTAATTGGAAGTAATCATCGTTTTGGACACGCTCAGGGGCCAAGGCCGATAATCTTAGGTTAGGAGTTACGTGACGAAGCAAAGTGGATGGGCGGAGGATGATTCACGATACTAAGGGGTATAGGGAAAACAAACCGAGTCCCCCGGAATTCATCCGAGGACAGATTTGTTATCTATACCTGCATTGGACGAAGGACGGTTCGTACGTTCGAAACAAATCGGAAAGGAGAATAGTAGGCGGAGGGCGGTTCCCGCTCGGACCTAGTGTTGCCAGGACTTGCCTACCTGTACGCACATCAGCCGGGAGTTCAATTTCTCCAATCCCGTAGTGCTCTATTTCGCCTGGGGAATACCGATTACTGTGGTAACTCAAGGAAAGTTCAGTCTCGGGTGATCAAATAGACATCTTTCATCTTGCTAGGTATGGGGGTGGATTTGGATTCTACGACACTCGGCTTTTCCTCACCCTTTGCTCTCCTGTCTGGGAAGTAAAATCATTAAGGGCTCGGGAATCGGGAACTCGTTGGCGGACGCATATTTGCTCGATTCTGATAGAATTAGGTGCCCTGGTTCCACACCTTGAGCGTGAAGGAAGTGGTAGGGTGTAAGAGTATTGTTAGATAGTGCCCTAGCCGGTTTTCCCCAATTTGCCCTGGTCGGCACTGAAGGCGGTCTCGGCAGGTCCTGTCCGAACTGTTGCCTAAATCGAAGTGTTTGCCAGGTTTCTTCGGATCGCCTCAAGTTTTGTGAGCAGGGTGGCTAGTCCGAGCAAGTAATTAACCAGGCGTAAATCATCAGTCCCGGAGGACTCAAGCCAGGTGGGAGGGTACCCACACATACAGCGATCCCAAATGGCGGCACAATCAAGAGGAGAAGCACAAGGTCCCGATTCGGAGCAGGCAAGGCAAAGTAACTTATCAGTCGTAAGGGACTCCGTGGGTAGGTGTTATGATGATGGAGTGTGCCCTAAGGGCATCCATTTGGGGACGGTGTTGGAAGACGAAGGAGGGAAAAGGTTCATAGTAAAGGAGGAGGTTGAGGAGGTTAAAGAACAATGGCTGAAAGAAAGGTCGGTAATCGTAGTGTTTCAGGGAGACGCTCGTTCACTACCAAGAGCGGTCAAGGAAGACCTGATCAGAGCATTTGAGGACGGATGGTCTGCGAAGAAACTTTTCCAACCAGAAACAAGACGGGGCAGGGTAAAATTCGAAGGGCCAAACGTAGACACATACGTGGCAAAAGCCAAGGAGATCGCGGGTTGGCTAATCCAACAGAAGGAGATGTCGATCAAGCTGGAGGAGGGGAAAAGCTACACAGTCCAGTTTACGCCAAGGCTATCTAAGCAGGAACTGCAGGTGGTCAGAATCCTAGAGCCGAATCCAAATTCTGGATTATGGCCCTGAGGGTACCCCTAGAAGCGTACTTTTACCTGGGAAGCGTTGTGGAGGCCATATTTGGCGGGCTCACATCGATGCAGTCACCCGAGTACGACCGAGACATTTGACTATCCAGTCGCCGAAGGGCGAAAGCTGGAAGGTGGAGATAGTAACCCCATACACCGACTGGTGTCGCAAATGCAGGTGGTATTTCCATACTGAAGATAACTGCCCGAAGTTCAAATCAAAGGGCGACGGGCGAGGGAGTCTCGAAGAAAGGCCCGGAGGGCCACAAAGCGAGATTCAGGCAGCACTTGCAGGATCAAGAACGCGGCCCACAAGCAAGAGCCGAAGGCAGTAGGGAGCCAACAGGGCCGCAGCAACTGCCCATTGGCACAGCACAAAGTCCAGGTCCCACAGGGCCCCAGCCAATCGGGACTTCCTCAGCACAACGGGGCTGGAGCAGCCTGTCTCAACCAAATGCAGCTGCCGACATCGAGGGAAGCTGGTAGAGACACAGGAGCTAACAGCCAGTGGATTGGCCCGTCGGTCAGGCACTGGTCCGAGTCCCAAGGCATCGGGCATGACAATGGTCAAGGATTAGCCCACTAGCAAGGGGGAGAAATCCATAGAGCTCCCAGGAGCTGGTAGGAAGCAGAAGGCCTCAATAGGGGCATGTCCCTGCCCCCACTCCCTCACCCAAGGGGTGACTGGTCAGGGGGCCAGGTAGGGAGAGACTGCCAAGTGTTCAGTCATACAGACAGAGCTCGGTTGGAGTCTCCATCACACATGTTTTGGCATGGACAACAGCCGGTGGGGCTTACTGTATGGAGTACCAGTATCATTTCAGAGAGCACCAACATTCATCGCAGAACTATCATATTGATCACCCCCAGGCTCGGTACCCGAGTGACAACTATTATTGGAGGAGCTTCGCAGGTCGAGGTGCCTCCACTCTGGATTTCTCCTGGTGGGAAGAGAGAGGCGGCGGTAGCAGAAGCACGCCGAGGACAAGCAACAGGAGATGGGACACCTGGAAGGAGGGTCCAAGACGCAGCAGAGGTGACATCACCCCTACTTGGCGACAGAATCAGCCCACGACCCCAGAAGGTCAGGGAGGTGGCCCAGGGCCCAGGGACACAGGAGCCAGACCAGGTGCATACTAGACAATTGCAGAAGAGCTGTCAAAATCTTCCATCTCCTCCAGGTCCAAGATCAGGTGGGGTAGTGAGTGCTATGAAGCGGACTATGGGGGCCTCCATAAATCCGCATCCTCCTCGCTGGAAAGCTCGGCACAGTCAGGTGCGGCCAAAGCTATGGGTCCAGAAGGGGTGCAAGCAGGCATTGGAGGCCCTGTGGCACCGGAAAGAAATCAGATGGAATCAGTCCAAAGATGTCTGGTGCCCCTCCTCTGTACCAAGGCAGAGGATCGCGTGTACCTGCTGGCGCTGACGAACGAAGACGGGACGCCAAGGATTCAATCTCAGGTGGTGGAATGTTCACCGACACCAGCGTTGATCATGACAACCACAAAGGATCTGTACGGTGAGCATGTACCAGTTAGGTTGGTTCCGCACTCATGGATGGTATCAGTTATCTGCGAAACGGTACAGGGCTATACCAAGATGTACTTTCCCATCCTCGATGCCCGCATTCCCCCTGAGACAACAAGCCTTCTGGCGCAATCAGGAGTCAAATGGATCCACATGGACCTGGTACGGGAGCGTAACATGCAGGAACTAGAAGCCATCAAGGTCCTACCTGGCATTTCAGGCCTAGTTCTACTAAATGTCAACGAGAAGCTGCTACTGGAGGAAAACCTTCATTCAGAGTTCCTGGCACAGAGCCTATCAGACGAATGGGCAACCATGTCAAGAGCAAGTTCCTCGCGGGGCAGCTCCAGCAGACATACGAATTCCAGATCGAAAGCAAGCAGCAAACGTTGTGTAGCGGATCAGCAACAGCAGTCGGCTCAACGGTCACCCTCCCGCATCCAATCAAGAACAAGCTTAAAACATCAATTTGGAATGTGAGGGGTCTAGGTGACACTAACGGCAGATCGAAGCGTAGAAGGCTGAGGTCATGGGTGCATGAGTGGAGAATTGGCTGTGTAATGTTATAGGAATCCAAACTGAACGAAACCAAGTTGAGAGAGTTCGCAAGGTGGTGGGACAGCCCACAAATCTGGTCCCCTGCTCAGGAGACTAGAGGTGGAGTGGACATGCAAGCACAGGTCATGGATGCAGAGGCCGATCTGTGGGGGAGATGGGCCTGGATCAAGGCAGTGATAGGAGGGGAGGAATGGGTGTTAACGACTGTCTATGCCCCAACGACTGTCTATGTGCCAACAAACTGGTGGGAAAGGGCAAAGTTCTTCCTGAAGTTGAAGACTATTGTCCCTAAGGCAGACAGACTGCTGGTCGCTGGTGATTGGAATGTATCGCTGGATGAGGCGCTGCGGCCTGGCGCCGCGAGCGCCGACAGAGGGGATGTGCAAGACTTGTTGGACCTTAGTGCAGAGATGATGCTTTCAGAACCGTTCCCAGTGCTAAACCCAGAAGACCCGGGTTATACCTGGTTTTCCAACCTGTTCAGGAACAGACAGGACATTACGAGGAGGCCTCTTGACTACTTCCTGCTGAGCGAGGAAATTTTGGAAAGGGTCACAACGGTCCGCCAATTCTGTCACCCCATGTCTGATCAAAAACCGGTGGTGGTGGAAATTAGTTTAGTCGCAGGTGCCGAGCGTGGGAAAGGCTTCTTCCGTTTGAACAGTCAAGTGCTTGAGGATCCAGGCATAGGTGAGTGGGTGAAGGACCACATGTCCAGATGGGAGGCGGCGAGACCGTTCTTTGAAACACCGGCGGAATGGCTAGACGGAGGTATTGCCATAGCTTCGGGCATGTTGGATGCGTGCTCACGAATCCTGCCCAAGGCAAGGAACTCGAAGGAAGCGGAATGCCTGCGAAGAATAGAAGAAGCGGAAGACAGGATGGAGGGGCATCCCATCTCTGTGATGGTATGGGCGGCCGAAAGGGAAAGGAGAATGACTAAGTGGAACGGCCTACAGGAGGAGAGAGAGAAAAGATGGGTGGAGATTCCGCGATTAAAGGGAGTGGAAACTCAAGACAAGATGACGAGGGCGACATTTCAGAAATTGCAGCCGCGGCGGTCGCAACAACAAATGGTGGAACTCCGACACCCCTTCAATGCTGCAGCCCCCCCGGCTTGTTCTCCCTTGGGTATGCTGCAGTACGCGAGGCTGTACTACTCGAACATCCTAACATCGAGGCGGCCTCATGACAGCGTGGACACAAACCTATCACTCACGTCGGATATGTGGGAAAATACAACAACTAGACTGCATGCAGGCGGAAGGCTTGACTTGGATCGCCCGCTCACCTTGGAGGAGATCTCCCAAACACTCAAGACCATGGCGAAGGGCAAATCTCCAGGGGTGGACGGCCTCACCGTCGAGTTCTATGCTGCTAACTGGGGCGTCTTTGGACCCTTACTTGTGTAACTATACAACGGGATCTTGGTTGGGGGTAAACTAGGGAAAGGGATGACGCATGGTGTGATCGCTGTTCTGTTCAAGAAGGGAGACAAGGCCGATGTAAGGAACTGGAGGCCCATTTCGTTGCTCAACGTGTCCTACAAGATTCTGGCCAAATCCTTGGCCAGAAGGCTGGCAAGGTATCTGCCGGACCTAGTGGCCCCCGATCAAGGTGCGTTCGTGCAGGGCCGCTCGATCTTCAACAACATAGTGACGGCAATCGAAACACTCGAGGTGGTGCAAACGAGAATCTGGATTACGCCGTCCTCCTGCTTGATTTGGAGAAGGCATACGACAAAGTAGGGTGGACTTTCGTGCTCACCACACTGCATTGGATAGGCTTCGGGGAAGGGTTCTGCGCATGGGTAATCGCATTGTACACATTCTCCACAGCCTCTGTTATGATCAATGGGCACCTGTCTGAACCTTTCCCTCTCGCAAGGTCCCTCACGCAGGGCTGCCCACTGGCACCTCTAATCTTCGTGATTCAGTTGGAGGTGCTATTGAACAAAATCCGCGCCCAACCGGTTATTCGTGGTCTGCAACTGCACACGGGCAACGAATGCAAGGTGAAGGCGCTGGCCGACGACCTTTTCGCTGTATGCAAAAACTCGGTGCCAGCTCTGTCAGCGATGAAGAGAGTACTAGGTGAATACTCCGTGCTGTCAGAGGCTTCTGTGAACTGGGGTAAATCAACCTACCTGCTCCCAGCTCAGTTCGAACTTAAGGTAGAGTGGGGCATGAAGAGAGTGGCGAAAGGGGAAGAGGAACGATTCTTGGGTATCATGATAAGTTTGAAGGTTGAAGCGTCGTCGCAGGGCTTTCATCTCCAGCAGCGGATCGCATCTAGGCTAAGGGTATGGGACTCTGCGTGGGACCTATCATTGATAGGCAGAGCGCTGGCGGCCAATGTTGCCCTGTTCTCCATCCTTTGGTTCGTTACCACGGTGTACGAACTGGCTGACGGTGCGGCAAGAGCCATTCGGAGACTGGTGGCACGCTTCATTTGGAAACCCAAGGCCCAAAATTCAGAGTCGTTCATCTCCAAAGTGGCACTTGATACCCTGTCCTTCCCAAGTGACAAAGGGGGACTCGGCCTGGTGTACCCAGCAAGGAAGAACAAAGATCAGTTGTGTTGGATAAAGAAGGTGGCTGGCCTGGGAGTGGCGGAACACTGGGTAGCCCTGGCGGAGCGTATCCTAATGGTCGAGTGGGAGCTTAGCCATCCGAAAGACGTCTGGTCCTGCTGGTTCATGCCTTCCTTCAAGGAAAAAGAGACTCAGATTGGGTTTCTGGGAACCCATCAGAAAAGCTTGGAAGAAGATGCCGCCCGACTCAAGGACCTCAACCCCACCACGAAGGAGGAAGTGCTGAACCAAATGCTGTTTGAGAATCCAGCAGTGGTGGACAGCACGGGTGCCCCCTTCCTCGCGGATGGAAGCCCAGGGACATTTGGACAAGCCTGGGTTAGAAGAGGGGTTATGAAGATGGAGGACATCTGATCCCTAACATTAGGAGGATGGATCCCCTTCAGAGAGCTCAGGCTGGCTCTAAGGGGCCTGCAGCGCACGGAAGAACACTGGAACCAGCTCACACAGGCTATACTGCAGGAGTGGTTACGAATCCTTGGTCCGGAGAGTATCGATCCCAAAGGCACGTGGTATATCTCGAACACCGAGCCCGGAGGAGATGTTCTCTGGAAGATCTGGGAAACCCTGCCCAGCGGGTTCAAGAGGGTGGAGAGGTGGAGAACCGATGGTCCACTAAATCTGCTGTCCTTTAGTGGAAACAACGACAGCCACAGTATGGGACAATCCGAGTCAAGTGAGAGTGGTGGAAGTGGTCACCAAAGAGTCAAGGGCAAGGCGACTTTCTTGGGTGGGCAGGGTGCCGCTGAGAAGTCTGCGGTTCAACCCCCTAGCCTGGAGCTGGTCAGCCATCGCAACAGGAGGTAAAGAGACCAGCTTGCAGGAGTACACAGTCGCCCTGGGGTATCAAATCGCCTCCAAAACCCTGAAGTCTCCAGCCAAAGTGGCAGTGTCCAGGTGGCAAGCCGTGTTGCAAGGAGAAAGCGTTGGGTCAGAACAAGATTTTGAGGACCTGTGGAAGAATCTAACCAAGTTGCCCAATGGCAAGCAAGCAAGCATTCTGTGGCTGCTGTCCCTTTTAGTCACCCCGTCAGCAGTTTGGCTGATCAGTAGGGGCATGCAGGTGGAACTGCACTGTCCAAGGTGCAGATGGCCTTTCGAGTCCACAAGGCACCTATGGTGGGAGTGCCCCGCATCTAAGCGAGTCTGGAGATGGTGGGAATACCATTGGAAGAAGTTTGGAGGCCAGGGGGTAGATTGGTGCGAGACATGGGTGCTCTTGGGATTCCTTCCCCCCTCTCTGAACGGATGCAGAGGGTGGGGCTACATTGCTAATGTGGCAAGAGGCCTGATCTGCGAGGCGATTTGGCTGGACAGAAACAGAGCAAGATTCCAGCAGAAGCCCTTTTCAGACACGGAGATCAAGAGGCACATCAAGCAAGAGCTCAAACAGGCAATCCGGGTAGATTGGAGGAGGATGGCCAAGGCAGGGAGGGGCAACAACAGACAACGCTGCTGGTTTCTACGTACCTGGGCAAAGAATCACCATCTGGCAAGCATCCACCCGGATTTTCGCATTGGATTGAGCAGTTAGACAATCAGGGCACCGGTTAGACATGTGTGCAATAGGTAGGTAGGGAGTAAACCGGTTCACCTGGCATTCTCCTAGGCTCGCTGTGAGCCTGTAGTTGGTGACCAGGACACTCGGTCCCTTTTAGGGCCGCTGTGGGCCGTTAGGTGAGTGTCTTTAGATAGGGATCCACCCCACTGGGCCGAGTTAGTCCCAGGGGTTGGCTAAACAGTTGAAGTTTACAGAATATATTCAGGTCCTACATTGAGTTGTGCGGTTAAAGCTTCAGCTACTTTAGAGCTGTTGGTTCTTCAACAGTAATCGGTAAGAACAGGAATGAGTTCTATGTGTCTGTGTGTTCATTCGTATTGAACCTTTACCTAGAGTTGTAGAGAGGAACCTGGAAAGTCGGTAGTTTGGGACTTTCTGCAGGCGCAAGCCTGTAAGCTAAGCTGGCTGATGCTGTCAGTATTCCGGGTTGAAGTGTGAGGTCCCCGGCCTCTTTGTTTGCATTTATAATTAACAGTTTCAGTTAAAAAAAAAAAAAAAAAAAAAAACTCTTGCATACAAAGTCGCGCACGTGGCTGTAGGTTGAGCGGTGGCTGGCCCCCACCCCCGTGTGTCTTATTGACCCACTTGCACACAGCCAAAAGGCGAAGAGGCAATGAAAAGAGGAAGGGAACAGCCAAACATTACAGAACAGGGGGCAAACAAATCCTAGATGACAATTCCCACATGCAAACACCGCCCCCACATCACAGGCCAAACGGGACAAACCAGCCAGGATTCAAAACACGATAAAGCACCGCCCACACAATAGGCCGATCAACGGGAAGCAACCAACCACTATGCCAAAAAACACCTTATCTGCAAAAAACAATGAATCTATTGCAGCTACCGCAACAAACATAAAAGACAATCCCAGATGACGATTCCCACATAAAAGCACTGCCCGAAAAACAGAAACAACCAGGATGCCAAAAAAAGATCCTGGATGACTAGTCCCACATGAAAGCTCTGCTACGCATTCCAAATAGACCGAACAACGCGACAAAACCAGCCGGATATATATATTGTCACTATGAATCACCTCTTACATACAGGGCCAGCCACGTGGATGACAGGTTAACCCCCATCCCCGTGTGTTACAAGGACCCACTTGCACACAGCCAAAAGGCAAAGAGGTAAATAAAAGCAACCAGACGTCACAGAGGCAAGCGAAAGAGAAAGAGAAAGGTCAAAGAAACGACAAAGGAAGAAAGCAAATGACACACCCCACAGATAAAACAATTGCCACTTTTTTTTCTTGTTTTCTTTTTTCTTTTCTCCAAAAAAAAATATATTTTTTCTTTCTTTTTTTCTTTTTGTTTCAATTTTTCCTTTCTTTCTTCAACTCCACAATTTTTGATAGTATCAAAAGCTTTATCTATCCTACAATTAGTGTTGCTCCTGGTCGCTTGATTCTATTGACCAGTCCAGAAGAGGAGCCCCCACCCCGGCAGATAGGACAGGCACGTTGAGGATGACGTGGATGTTCACAAGGATACCCAAGGAGAGCTACTTCAGCACAGCATTCAGCAGGACAACTAGCACGGACCATCCCATCAAAACAGTCCCGACAAAGGACATGCTGTCCACATGTCAAAAGAACAGCAGGACGTTCATCACAGTGTGGCATCATGCAGTCCTGATAGCGTCCTTCATCACAAAAGGGACAACGAATATCTGGGTGACAGGGATGTGTACAATGTGGAAATGTTGGGCACCCTTCCGCACAGACGGCGGCGGCTGCAATAGATTGATAATGTTAATGGCATACGCGATGAATTCCGCAGCCAAGACACACCGTGTCCCTGTCCCAACAGGTGTCACACGAGAGTCGATCAATAATCCAGAATAAAGTATGATTCGGTAATGCACACAGAAATTCATTTATGTTGAAAGTAGTCTGAATCATAGTCCCACCATCCAACAGTTCCCGCTGGCAGCTGCACGAATGAGTGCCATACAATGCCCGGGTCTGTGCAAAATACAGGCACAAATATGAGGATGGTCATTAAGGCCATCGCCTCACGTCTCATGATGCATAAGAAGGTGGCGACCGTGGAATGCTAGCTGTAAGACATTTGCAGTATAACTGAGGTAGTATAACTACTACCTTCAGGAGGTGGACCATTCTGGTCATACAAGAACTGATTTTCAACAGCATCAAGCCGATAAGCAATCGTAACAAAATGGGAAGTAGTATAACATTCACGCTGATAAGCATGTAGGCAGACATTTGTGGCTGTCAACCCACAAGCACTTGGTAGATCTGCCCACGGATCCGATTCGGTCACCACTGGAAAGCTAGGTCTGATCTGGCAAGGTCGGCGCATGAATGATGAACGCCGTCCACATGGCAGAGAAGGCCGTCGGTAAGACAAAGAACACCGCAGATTAGCATCAACACGACGGCGGGAGGAAGGGGGATTGGGAGGAGGAGAGAATGAACGAACCTGCCGACGTCCCAATACAGACAACGAAGACAAAGGAGGGGCCACTCTCAACCGCCGTGGGGGGGCAAATGAAGAAGGAGGAGGAAGAAGAAGAGGAAGAAGAAGAAGAAGAAGAAGAAGGAAACAAATGATGCAGAAGTAGAAGGGGACGTAGAAGAAGAGGAAGACGAGGAAGAAGAAGAGGAAGAAGAAGAAGAGGAAGAAGAAGAAGAGGAAGAAGAAGAGGAAGAAGAAGATGATGATGATGATGACGACAAAGAAGAAGAAGAAGAAGAAGAAGAAGAAAAGGACATTGGCAAAGAGGAAGGAGAAGGAGAGGGAGGGGGAGAGGGAAAGGAAGGCGGAGGGGAAGTGGAAGGGGAAGTGGAAGGGGAAGTGGAAGGGGAAGTGGAAGGGGAAGAAGGACGAGGAGGGGGAGGGGGAGAAGAAGGGGGAAGTGGAGAGGAAGAGAGGGAAGACAGAGGAGGTGAAGATGGACAAGAAGGGGGATGGGGAGGCGGCGGCGGAGGAGAAGATGGAAAAGAAGAAGGGGGACGAGGAGGGGGAGGGAGAAGGAGAAGCGGAAGAAAGAGGAGGAGAAGGTGGAAGAGGATGATGCATGGACCAGCGAAGCATACATCGAAACCATTGTGTAAGACGAGTTACATGTATAGGTTGTCGGCGTTGGCGAGCACAAATGCAATAAGTCCATCCTCGGGCCAAAGTCGAAGGAGCACGGCCACGGGAAAGCAAACGGCGGACAAGCATGGTTGCCGCAGTTATGAAATCATGCCAATTATCACAAATCTGCTAAAACCCACGTAAGCTGCCCGAAGAACACACCTGCAGGTTGATGAGACAGAATGTTTGACTTTGCACTAGGATATCGTATAACAGGAAAATCCCATGCATCTGTCTTGTCAAACACACTCAATCGGAGAGATCCATCTGCTCGTGTCTGCAGTTTCGCACTTAAAAAGGTGCAAGAGCCATCAGCCGCAATGGTCTCCTTCCATTCAATACCATAATAGGTTGGCGATGGTGGCAGACAACCAAAGGTAAGAACATCATCCATGAACCGATAAGTGAAAACATATCAGCGAGCTGCAGAGGGATCCACACGCTGCAGGTTGTCCACGTACTGCGCCTCATCCCAGTAGAGTGTGAGGTTAGCAATCTCAGAACCAGCGTTTGTACCCATGGGAATACCCACATCTTGATGACGAACAAGGCCATCCGCTGTATATAGATATGTATTAGTAACAATAAACCAAAGATGTTGAAGAATGTCGGATACAGAAAGAGTGTCAGATCCCGTATCCGTAGTCCATTCCCCTGCACACGGTCCACGGACCACCATACGAAGAGCCACACAATGCGTGTCCATGTATGCTGCTGTGCCTGTGCAAAAGCATAGGCATGTGCCTCATCAACAGCCTTAGCAACATTGTTAAGAATCCGTTGATGAGAAAGGTTAGTATACATAGTAGTGAAATCGACCGTATGGGGGGCCAAACCTCGGAGAGAAGCTTTATTCTTTTGTATACTGTCAAACAGAACTGCCCGGTAAACCGTAGGCAGAGAGGGAGAAGAGGACAACAAGCGAGGGGTTGTGACAAACTGTTTCGTCGGAGTTTCACCGACGAAACAGTTTGTCACAGCCCCTCATTTGTTATCCTCTTCCCCCTCTCTGCCTACGGTTTACCACACAACTCTGTTTGACGATATATAGAGAGAGAGGTACGTAGAATGGCCATGTAATGACCAGGTCCGGGCACAATGCAGGCAGAGATGTGCAATGGAGGATTAAACCACTCACCCTCTCGAGCATTGGGTAGGCGGTCCCTCATTGCTACTTGTAGGACAGCATTGGTAAAGCCTCTTTCCTTGGTATAATCACAATCCTCTGGCTGTAGGCAGGGGAGATCAGCATCAAGCTGAAGGGCGATTGCAAGGAAGTCTGATGGTATATAAAACGGGCGGGAGAGAATGTGAAGACAGATATTAGTTGCTGTCAGACCACAGAGATTGGTGAGGATCTCAGGCTGGTGTGCTGTATGCTGGCCAACAATTTGCAGATCCCCCCAGTTCGTGTTGCAATCCTAGAATGTCTTCGGTTGCTTGCTGGTCAGTCATTTGCAGATCACCCATATGGTCTGCCCATAGTGAGAAGAAAGACCACCCATTTGCAGATCACCCACGTGGCAAGCGTAGAAACAAAACAAAAAACAAGAAAGAAAGTGTAAGCTACTTTCCACATGAGGTCCAATGCATGACTATGTCCAACCTCGAAAGAGTGTTCTGTGCATTCAGAGAGAGGGGTAACGGCCACTTCGCCCTGAAGCAGCCGTTCCCATCTCCGTCTACCTCTGACAGTGAGGCACTATGTTTCAGGTCCATGATGGAGGCCTCAAACATACCGTGTTTGCAAGCACACCCACTCTCATCATGACTGCATTGGACCTGGAAAATAGGGTAGAAACATTTTGATTTCGGACACGTATAATCACACACACATTGTTTTTTTGTTTGTTGTTGTTTCTTGGGAGGGGGAGAAGCGCTGTCATGTGCGGCCCCAATTTTTTTTTCTTCTTCGCTGCTTTGTTTTCTTCTGAGGGGAGGGCCGAGGTGTGTCACAAGACCCTGCCCCTCCCGAATTTTTTCAGCGAACCCCATTTAAAGGGGTGCGGCGCAGCATGAAAGCTACTAGGAAGTTTTTCATTGTCGAAGAAAACATAACCCACCAAACTGAAAGCCACTAGAACTTATTCATCATGAAGTAAAATCTGTTTTGAACTTACCACACTGAATAGTAAAATGCCAAAGAGAACCAAATCACAGATTCTGATTTTTCTTTCTTCCTTGTCCGTACTCTAAAAGCCTGCATTGCTCGCATGAAACGTAGATCTTGGGTTTATGAAAACGCGCAACACGATCACTGAGAAAAACAAGTGATGGAGTGTTTCCTTTTTCCATTCTTGTGATCGCTTGGGATACAGTTGTTTCTCCCATTTGAACGTATGCAACTTTTATTCATAGATTGCAATAGATTAGAATTCAAATTTCAAACTATTAATCATCCCATCACAAGAAAGAAAAATGAAAAAGAAAAAGAAAGAAGAGGCTGTGTATTTTCCCCAGCAGGGACGCCAGTGTGGGCCTATGTGCCCTTTCGGCAAGTGAGTGGCCTCAGGAATCCGATGGGAAATTTGTTCTGCTGGGAGGTGGGTGTTCATTTGGACCGCACATTCTCCTCCAAATGGGGATGGGTGTCCGTTTGGAACCCCCATTACCCTTCAAATTGGCACGGGTGTCGGTTTGGAACCCCATTTGGACCTCACATTCTCCTCTAAATGGGGATGGGTGTCTGTTTGGACCCCCCATTACCCTTCAAATGGGGATGGGTGTCGGTTTGGAACTTCATTTAGACCCCACCCCATTTGGACCCCACATTCTCCTCTAAATGGGGATGGGTGTCTGTTTGGACACCCCATTACCCTTCAAATGGGGATGGGTGTCGATTTGGAACTTCATTTAGACCCCAAGTTCTCCTCTAAATGGGGATGGGTGTCTGTTCTGACCCCCATTACCCTTCAAATGGGGACGGGTGTCGGTTTAGAACCCCATTTGGACCTCGCATTCTCCTCTAAATGGGGATGGGTGTCTGTTTGGACCCCCCATTACCCTTCAAATGGGGATGGGTGTCGGTTTGGAAACTCGTTCTCCTCTACAAGTTCAAGGTCAGGTGCAGACAGATAAGATAATCCTGTATTCACGGTAAGTTCCAGGTCAGGTGCAGACGGACAGTAGCACAGTTGTTTCCTTTTTTTGCTGTCAGAAACTCCTCTGTTGTGGTGTTTCCACCCCGTAGCGGGGGCCAAGTGCCGCGGTGGCACCCGGGGTAGTGGGGACGGGGGAAAGGAATGGTGGCGGCTTCCTGTGCCACGGTTTCCAGGTCTTGCCTCCCGAAGGCAATGTGTGTGAGTGACCAGGATGGATGCTTGAGGTGGCTGTACCAGGTTGGCGCAGCTGGCAAGTGCGTTTTTCACTAAAGCTTAGCATGCACCTGCCCTGTCATGCGACTAGGTTCAGCAGATATAGCTGGCTCGTGCTTGGGGCAAACACCACCGATATCGAGGTTGCTATACGGATCATTTTCAGAAACTAAAATATATTAATAATAATTGATTATTCAATGTAGGATTTACTTCAGTTCTTTTGTTCCCCACAGAGAGCGAGAGAGGGACCATAGTGCTCATGTACAGGCTGGGCACACTTGTCTCCTCCTCCCCCATTTTGCTCATTTCACAATTTACTAGTCTTTATTGTCGATTTTAGACCCCAATAACAATCCATGGATCTATTATTAATTAATAATAATTATCATTAATTATGCGATGTACTATAGTTTTCATCGACAGGATGTTAGATATTGGAAGCATGTCTATCCTCCTTCCTTTCTCTTTTATCATTTATTTATTCACTTATTTACTTATTTTCATTGTGAATCCTCGGTGCCATTCAAATGACGATCCTCAACTATTTATTTATTTATTTATTTATGTTCTTCAAGCTTTTTGCTTCGATACTCCAACATCAGAGCATTATCTCTTGCAACCCTTTTTTTCCCTCGACTCCTTGTTTCTGCCTTATACATTCACTCACACGTGACCCCATCCAGATTTCAGAATACCCACTCAAGGTAATTGATGGAGACCAAGACCCGATCAAAATCATACGAGATGGTGACATAAGTGAGCACCATGATTATCATCATCATCATCATCATCATCATCATCATCTTCATTGCCATCACCACCATCAACAACGATGATCATCACCATCATCACCATCATCACCGTCATCACCGTCATCACCATCATCACCATCAGCAGCAGTGTCATCGTCATCACCATCATCCCCATCATCCCCATCATCACCATCATCGTAAGCAGCAGCAGCAGCAGCATCGCCATCGTTATCATATCATCATCATCATCATCGTCAACGATCACCATCATCATCATCCTCATCACCATCGCCATCCTCATACTCATCATCATCATCGCCATCGTCATCCTCATCACTCTCCTCGTATGCACAATCGTCATCAACGACCACCATCACCATGATCATCAACCCCGTTTCGCTGTTTTCCATCATCCGAAGGGCACAGAGGAAACTGCGAGATCGCCATCAATAAAGAAACGATCGTTTCTTACATGCCCCGAAAGAAGCAAGAAATACAAAAAGAACACAGATTTTCTTTACTGCTCCCTGATGATGTGAACCTCGTCACGTTTGGGGATCAACTCCACAACATCAAGCTTAGTATGATCATCCCTGTTCTCATCATCCCGGTCAGTCGTCATCGCTCTCTTCCTCTTCCTCCTCCTCCTCCGCAGTGATAATCCCACGACATCATCATCATCATCATTATCATCATCATCATCATCATCATCATCATCATCATCATCGTTACCCTCGTCATTATCACCATCATTGCCGCATCGCCGCCATCACCATCATCGTCCTTATCATCCGCATCACCGTCACCAACATCAGATCATCAACGTCACGTCGTGGATATCTTTCCCACTTCCTCGTAATCATCATATCATTGATTTCTTTTTCATTATTCTGTTTCATCATCATCATCATCATCATCATCGTCTGTCACTCATCATCAAGGTCATAAGGGCGTCACCAGCGCCACCAACGCCATTGCCATCGCCCTTACACTCACACTTACCAGCCAGCCGCATAGGGAGGACATGATCGTCACAACAATTGTTCTCTTCTTGTTGTCATTATCATCATCATCGCTATCATCATCACCACCACAATCACTGTCACGATAATTGCGATTCGATAGATATCATTATCACAGTAATTGTTCTCTTGTCATCATCTTCGCATCACCATCACAATAATTGTTCTCTTATTATCATCACCGCTATCATCATCACCGCCGTTCGATCGCTTTCATCACCGTAATCATCGTACTCAGCATCAGAATCAATATCCTCCTCCTCCCCCTCCTCTTCCATCACCATCACCGTCACTATCCTCCTCTCCCTGCATCATCACCACTGTGCGAGTACAATCGACGATTGCTGGCATCAGAAGTTCACAAAGCACTGTTCTTCGCGTTCAATGTTGCACACTGGCTCCTCGACTCGACAGCAGTGCATCACAAAAATAACACACAACCTTATATCATTCCTGAGACCAACATCCCCCGATACAGCCTTTGGGGAGGGGGAGGAAGGAAAAGGGAGGGGGGGGAGGAAGGAGAGAGACGGCAGTGCTGGAGGAAAACAGCAGGAGACAGACAGCAATTCGACGATCAGTAATGAACCGAGGATGGACGACTCTCTCTCTCTCTCTCTCTCTCTCTCTCTCTCTCTCTCTCTCTCTCTCTCTCTCTCTCTCTCTCTCTCTCTCTCTCTCTCTCTCTCTCACACACACACACACACACACACACACACACACACCGCACGAAACACAGCACGCATAGAAAACACAACCCGACACGCGCGCGCGCGCCCCCACACACAGACACGAGAAAAAATATAATACTCCATTCAGTCCTGTCCATATCATTCTTCATTAAAAGGAATGATAAGACAGGTAAGGGAGAGGTGAAGGATGACGGAACTTCTAGGTTGAGGTCGTTAGTATGTGTTACACCAAAAATGCCCTTGCTTGACCACCACGTGACGCAAAGCCTTCTCCGTTTTGCCTTCAACCCCCCTCCAGTTAAAACAGAAAAGAAAACTCCTTTTTCAGTTTTCGGGGCTCAAGGAGGTGAAGGATGCCGGAGGTTCGATGGCAGAAAGATGAAAAAGCAACAAGGGAGGACGCCCGCCCCGCAATATGACTGTGACGAAGCGTCCAGCGATCCCGACCCGACGAAGACAAACAATCAAAGCCCCTCCTCCCATTACACGCTCACGATCTCTAATTTTGACACTTTCCAAGTATACATAGAAAAGTAAAGAATGAGGAGAGGAGGAAAAGGAAACCGAGGAGGAAGAGGACAAGGAGGAAGAGGGAAGGAGGAGAGGGAGGAGGATTCAAAGGACAAGGAGGAAGAGGACAAGGCGGAAGAGGACAAGGAGGAAGACGAGGAAGACGAGAAAGAGGACAAGGAGGAAGAGGGAAAGAGGAGGGGAAGGAGGACAAGGAGGACGAGGAGGAGGAAGAGGGAAAGGAGGAGACGGAAGCAGACAAGGAGCAGTAAGAGGAAGAGGAGGAAGAGGAGGAAGACGAGGAAGACGAGGAAGAGAAGAAAGACGAGGAAGAGAAGAAAGACGAGGAAGAGGAGGAAGAGAAGGAAGAGGAGGAAAACGAGGGACAGGAGGCAGCCGAGGAAGATGAGGAAGACGCAAAGAGGAGGATGAGTAGGCATGAGGACGAAGAGGAGGAAGAGGAAGCTGGGAAGGAGGAAGAGTTTTGCGCAGGACACTCTTCGTAAACTCCGCTTCCTGCGTTCCAGCCTGCAGCAGGAAGGTGGAGAAGAGGAGGAGGAGGAGGAGGACAAAGAGAAGGAGACAGGCACGTGACTAGCAGAGATGATGGCGCTGACAATGCATGACGAAGAGCCGATGACCGGCGGGCCACAATCGCGGTGTACGAGAAGGGAAGGGAGGCACCACGTGTCCACGACGGATCAACCAAAACAAGCACACAAGCGACATGGCGGTGGTAAAATACGGTATGTCAATGTAGGCCGAGGATGATAAGCAGAAACAAGGAGACGACAAAAAAAAAAAAAAAAAAAAAAAAAAAAAAAAAAAAAAAAAAAAAAAAAAAAAAAACAAAAAAAAAAAAAAAAAAAAAAAAAAAAAAAAAACAGTAAGGAAAA